TGTAGATAAATAGCTTACGGTGAGTTTTGGTAAACTCAACTTTGTCCTGACTTGCGCTCACTCTCAAACGAAATCCACACGGTCTTCAGGTGTCTGTCCTGGCGCCCTCATGAACGAGCGTGCTTGTTTGATTATGAATACTCGTCACCGCTTGTTCCGCGTTCCGCAATTCGGTCTGCCCGTCATCCCGGTTTTAGCTGTTGTTATTTTTTTGTTGTCCTCGGACACGTCATTGAATCTCTATACCACTCTGCTGTGTTTGTGCAGACGTGCATGAACCTCTCGCTCTCGCAGTCTAATCACCGATAGGTGATTCACATGAGATTGATCAATCTGTACTCAAAAGAAAAACAAAACAACAGCTTAAAAGGAGACTGGCTGTACCAGCAGCCCTCGGTTAGATAGCCATCAAGCTAACACCTGCTCGACCGTGTTTACAAATCATTTATTCGTCATCAGATAAGATCAGAAACGTGAAATATTTCTCGCGACAAGCCAGTGCAAATCAAAATTTTAATGAGACCAGATAAACCTGTTTCACAAACTGCAGGAAATACAGGTGCGCCGGGTGGTGTTAAACCTTTGTAGAAAGAAAGAACCTCGTTGACTAATGATATTTTGAAGAAGTTCTCTATTATTTCCACGGAAATATAACTTATACTGATCACAAAACGTGCGGATAGCACAAAAACGCTCACTTTTGTTTCTTTACGCATAGTGCAATGAATTAACCGGTAGTTTCCATGTTTCCCGGCTTTCTTGCATGAGATTTCAATTGATATATACTATATGCAAGCAGTGGCTACCACGGTAGACACTTATGTGTTGGAGTAACATTTTAGAGTCATATCTCAGTTGAAATCTTACAACAGTTCGGTGATTCAAACAAACGTTTGTGACTNCTGCCGCCGTCGTCTGCATGGGGCTCTCTGTCCCACCACAAGAAACCCTATGCATGATCTATGGCCTACATATTTTATGTCATTTTAAAAATGAATTGTTTACACCTTTATCAGCTTAAAAATATTTTCGCGCTAATGTATCTACCTCAGTTTTGTTGCATCAAATTCAATATGGTCACAGAATTTAGGATTATCTATGAGCTAATTGTGTCCTTGTGTTTGTTCATGTGAGAACCGACAGATCACATAACAGAGTTTACGGCCAACATAATAATAATAATAATCCACGCAAAATTCTACAAATTTACATGCAACGAATACGCATTCGTAAAACATCAAATTGATCGCCACCAACCTTGAAACATCAATGTGGAAAAGTTAGGGTAATGGTTGTAGGAATCTAACAGATAAACCACGGAAAAATGGAATGACGGCGTATTGCAATCAATCAGAATCGCTTCAGCTACTCACATTTCTTTCTCATATACCCAGTTCTGCGTACCCGCTTCTTTCGTTTTCATCTGCCTTTTAATACGTCACTCCGCCAATTTATCTCTAATATTTCCTTGTATTTGGTTATATCGGCCTGACAGAGAAGCCGCTTAATAGTAGATACGGTTTCGTGAACAGATTGACACTAGCCATTTTCTTGACGGGTTGCATTACAACATACTACCACATAGACACAACGGTATAAACGCGTAATAAATTTTGTTGCGTTGAACACTGCAAAATGGAACTAAGTTTATTGTAGTTTTATCAATATATTCATATTTTCTCAGATCAACAGATATATTAGAATTTTTTTAAAATTCTGTTATTTCGTTCCACTTTTCCGTCATTGCTCTTTACATGTAGAACGTATACAGTCAATACAACCCTTCATATGCAGTGTGAAGAATCAGATCACAAACTAATCACGGAGATATAGCCAGGTCGAAAACCATTTTTCCAAGACAGTTATTCAATGACTGGAACTGCTAAGTAAATATTCATCCTGTCTTCGTCAAATCGGACGAGACGATTTCAGTGTATTTCATTTGGGAATAACCCAACCACTTAGGTATATCTTTATTTTGTGCGCGGTTTGCCTGCGGTAATCACACCTGTAATTGTCCTCACTGCGTTTGTAATGCAACATGTATTGACCGCGGATTGAGACAGCTGCCTCAAAAGATCAAACGTTACTGACCACTGTAGATGCAATATGGCGACAAATGTGATAAAGAGCGTAATAGATAATAATCCAGCTGACTCAGGCCAACAGATAATTACTGAATATGCCTTCTTGATTACCTACTGTTTGTCATCCATTTCCTCCAAATTACAGCGGCTTCACATACTGGCCAACTATGCACCCCAGAGCTATGTTCACAAAAGTAACTAGCCAAATCATAATAACTGCTTGACCGCAAACCAATCACATGAACAACAACTCACATTCCGAGTTCACAATTAGAAGAAACTAGAGGTTCATGACACAATCCACCCTCATCACCTGCCTCTTCCATACTCTCGCTCTCGGCTGAACATTCGACAGTTCTGGCTGAATAAAAGGTCCACAGTTAAAGAACCAAAGTTCTTATGTGGTTTGTAAGTGCCTGGAGCTGAATCACTCAAAATAGATGTTGTCACCATACTGTGTTCCCAATAAGTTTGGGGCATACAGGGGAATAGTGTAATATTTTGTCAATGTTACACCGACAATGAATGTTTTTAAAATTGGTCCTAAAACCTAATCTTCGTGTTGTTTAATCCTTAAAATAATTCTCCGTGCGCAACTTCGTTTTTCGATCCCCATTTTATTTCGTTTAATTGAACGAAATATATGCATCCAGTGATAGCAAAATTTTCAGTATGAGGGATACACTTACGGATGATTTGAGGTCTTCCAGTACTTGTTGTAATTCATCCGTTCGATTGCTGAGATCGTAGGCACGAACCAACTCTTGTTTGGCCTGATTATGCAAATCCTTCACATTGGCTTGAATATCCGCTAAGCGCTTTTCAAGGTCTTCTCTTGCGGACATTGTATCAGGAACCAAAGCCTTAGTGCGAGCTACATAGTCCTCAAAGTCTAACTCATCACGTGGTTTCGAGGACGGAAGAAGAAGAAGAATGAAATATTGAAATTAGTTCGAACAGAGTTGTTTGACTAAACTTAACTTCTACTGTCAACAAACTGTTGAGGTCATGTCAGTTATGAATGGATTTATTCACAGTAGTGAGATGCGCGGCATTGTATTTGTTGGAATATTGTTGACAAAGGTGAACAATTTTGATATCATGCAACAATAATGATATCAAAATGAACACTTAGAAAAGAAAAATAACCATACATCTGTATTTTACTCCAATATCTACGGTGTTTAGTTGATAAGAAGACATAGTTAGGTAAATCATAGTAGGTAAATGATAGGCCAGGACTCTAGTGTACCGCAACCTTCATTTACTTATTTTTGAGGCTGCGGATATTTGCAAGCGGATGTAATTCGGTTAAGTGATTGACTAATGTTCGTCCAAATCCGAAGAATGTTTTTTTTCTAAAACAAACGATCAACCGAAACACGATATAAATTTTGTAAACCGCTGATAGACTAGCGAAGATTGCAGGAAAGCAATAATGGATCCAAAACACGAAAGACAAGTAAAAAATAAACAGGGAATGAATAGTATATGAACTTTGAATCACCTGAAGCTTGGTATATAAGAACATCTTTCTTATCTTAAGGAAAATGATTGACATTTGAATAGATCTAATAAGGCAGTGAGATACGTTTGCTCTAATGCAACTTACGGAACAAAAAACGGATTGCTTTGATAATTAAATATCAAGCAGAGTTTCACATCACAAGCATTAAAAATGAGAGTTTGGTTTACGATGAGGTGTTCGCAATTGGATTGTTCATCTAAATAATCAAGAAGAAGGGGCCGAATGGATATGGATAAAATTACGGAATTCAATTGTGAAGGCCGGAATTCGTATGAATTTTTGACGAGGGAACGAAATAGAGCGCAAAGCGCTTATTCGTGTACATTTCGTAAGCGAAGGCATACACGCTGTCAAAAGCAGATGGTACACCCTCTCGAAAAGTAATATCATTATGGATCATGAATGTTTTCCATTTTTCTTTCTAGACCACTATGTGTGAGTCGCAGATATAACATTGATATGTTATAGGAGTTATATCTTTTTATTGTACTTTCTTTTCCTAAATACATCCTGATACAGTTTTTCAGGAATGGGAATTGGCCAATCGAAAGGAATATCATACATCGCACGGATAACAGGGAACGTTGATCTGTGGTAATGGGGTTCGAATATACGTTCTCCGGGGAGATAATTTGGTAATCCGCATCGTTTGACCAACACCATCGCACACGATCAGTATAACAAGATAACTGAATATTTCCATTGTAACATTTGATTAAACACGAAGTAGTCAGTAGGCTCGTTTTTTGATAACTTCATCATGTCGCTATACAAATAGATGACAGGTGTACCACGTTTGTATAACGTTTGATGTGTACGAAAAGAAGAATAACAGTTTCCATGCTTTTTTATTACACAACTTAGTGTAATAAACAGCAGACGAGGTGGACCCCACAGTCTTGAGGACCCACTGTGCAGTCATGTAAGCTTGTCACCTAAGCTCGGGGACTTTGAGTGGCAAACCATATAAGGCCCCACTAGGTTAGTGAAAGAAACGCCAGCAAAACTGCCTATCACCAAAGTTGGGTGACGGTGGTGGGGCTCGATCCTCGGACAATAGGATCTTAAGCTTGCCGGTGATAGTAACTAAACCACCGTGCCAACACCACCCTGAGAGTAATTTCGTAAAACACCACAATTTGCTGCACAACCGTTGTTTTAAACAAACTTAAGTCAATTGATGAAGCTGAGTAAAAGGATCTGAATGATATTTTTGCTCTTATTACCATAGAGCTAGTTGTTTGAACAGTTCTTTTCAAGCATCTGTATTATACTACTCGTTTGGCTGAGTCAAGCGAGACAGGCTGCTTAAAACAGAGGTGCAGAGTATCACCTTGTGGTTTATTGGTAGAAAATAATACGGATTTCATTGAGAAGGGTGTTCTCGTTTACTTCCACTCGGTTCTATCATAGTGTAAGCAGTGGTTTAAGACAATGTCACTGCTTTGGCTAATCCAGGTTTTGATACCTGAAGACTAAAATTATTCGGATCGAAACTGAACATGGATATTAGCAAACAGCTCAAGATTGCGATCTCTTTTTTGATGCCCCTTACTCCTGCCTGCTCTTGCAAAATTCCTAAACAGAGATGGATGTATAAGAACATTTTAATTTATTGACTATTTTTTGAACTGATTATAACAGAGAACTTGAGTACTCAACGAACAAAATACAAATTCCTAAGGCTCTCTCTCACTTACATTATTATAAATCTTCAATCCATTCTAAAGACCTTATCAATGCCCGCTGAAGAAACGAACGACGAATGAAAAATTTTAATCCAAGTTCCCTCAAATAATTAGTCCCTCAATATTGCTATGCTTATATATGACATTTTTTGTCTATTCTAGTGTCACCATACAGATCGGGAGTCAAAACCGTCCATCATAAAGTGGAGTCATCTCACGCACAAACTAACCAATACTCTCCTAATTCAAAAGCTTTGAAATTATAATGTGTTGTTTCCTCTTACAGGACATTATCTCCACCAAAGACTGAAAATGATGTGATGAGTGACTTGGAAAAGCCAGTCCTATGAACGCTGGTGAATGAAGTGATCAAAAGCTTTATTATGCACCATATATAAAACTGGATAATGACGAGACCACAATGCAACTTGTAACAAAAGCCAATTTGGACAAACACCAGCAACAATACTGATAAAGACAATCGCACCTTCCAAACGAGCAAGTTTCTTCTGAGCCTCATCAAGTGCATGCCAGCCCACGGAACGGGCTTTGGAGACACGGTCCACGAGATTCTGTAGATCTATGAACGGTTGTTGTACCACTTTTGCTTGTGTATGACGTTCATTTAGCACATCACGCAACTGATTGTTCATCTGACGTAATCGATCCATAACACTTTTCAAATCGGACACGGTTTCCGACATACGATTCTCCAATTTACGAGACTGAGAGAAAAGACGCAAAATGATAATCGATTATGGCCTACACTTGACGGAACAGATTAGTACAAAACGGCTGCGGTTTCCCACCGGTATCCAAGTGAACCATTTTTTTCCAAACTGCAGAGGTGGCACTGACCGATCTCTGCATTTAGTCAAATAAAAAACCTGAATAAGAATCCCAGTGCTTAGAGATGTAAAACCCACTGGAGAAGTTGACTTCAATATTTCGTGAAATGATCCAAGGTTTAAATCATGAACCATTCCGTTAAGAAGTGCTCGTATTCTATTGCCACCAGTATGTGACAGTCTGACCAATAAAACCAGGACGGAAAGCGATCTGGGAAAGGGTTATTTGGATGGGTGTAACGGATGAGCTTTCAGATGATACTCTTTAAATGGAGTGATCCCGTTTACTTCTCAATAAATGTGATTCGCATTGCTGATTACTTAACAGAGACTATTACAAGTGATGTACAAAATCGAAAGGATTTCGTTTCTCGGCTATTTCTTTCGAGCAGAACAGTTCGGATATCAAGCACGCACAACCAGGGAACCAAAGCTAACGGTCGAGAAGCACAACAAGCCTGTTTTAATGATGCTGAATGATCACTTTAATGCAAAATCCACAATTTATTTATTCGGTTATACTCTCAATAAGCGCTAAAATATTGTATTGCTCTTGTAAAATCTAATCAATGGTGTATATTCAGCATTGAAACGCCAAACACACCGTATGGAAGGCGTGCAATTACCATGGTACCAGGTTTTTCCCACCGATGATTAACCCAATTAAAAATTTTGGGTTGTTCACATGTTGTCCCCCATGAGTTGAATACTGTGCTTCTTTTGAGCTTGTTCGGAATTAAGAGTATTTTGTATTCGTCGATTCTATCGAGTCCATAAAAGCCGGTTACATTCATTTCCTTCTTTTATGCATGTAAAATTGTATAGAGTGCATGTTCGCAGACCAACATCATACGAGGTTTGGTATTGCCTATCTTTTCCAAATCACACGTACCTTTCAAATGAAACTTCTGGGCGATTAAATTAAAGAATCATCAAACAACTTTTATTATCACGTTCATAATGGGTTTGTTTCAAATTTGTTTTTTATACCAATGTGATTCCGAAAAATTGAATGTGGTATTCATATAATAATCAACCTGCTCATACTGATAATTCCGATAACGATTACGATTACGATGACAACAATCACCGCTGGAAACGAGCGAAACACGACCAAGCGGATAAACCGAATCATGATGATGATGATGAGGAGGAGGAGTACGGTGTTGATAACTATTTAGCTAAAAACGATGTAACCTAATTTTGAGCATTGGGGAGTTTACTCACTGTCTGATTTGCCTCTTGCCACTTGAACATGACACTCTCAAGCAGTCGAACTTCTTTTCGTAAATCTGGAATTTGACTCACTCCCGTTCGAGCCTGATAGACTTGATTGCTCACTTTCTGTATTAGATCATTCGAGCCCTCGATTCTCTGAACCAGTTGCTCACCCCCGAAATCGAGTGTTTCACTCCTATAAAACAAAAAAGGAATTACCAAGGATTCGCAAGGACTAACCAAGATAATTGACGAATATTCGACTAATTGATAAGCATCAAGTTATCAACGAAACAGTTAATGAATCAAAAAAGCAGGAAGGTGAAGTTTCATTGGAATGCAGAATACAGAAGCTGGATCACTTTCATATTATAATGGGAATTATCTAGTGGCAGAAAAATTATCATTAATGAAATTGTGAATAAAATCAGAGGGACAGATAAGATTGTTTTGTCAGAATCTTTTGCGTTTTTCTGGATTGGAGTAAACAGTAATCCAATTAATATTCCTTTGGAGCCTATCCAAACAGTAGAACAATAAAAATTTACTAAAACTAAGTTTCGATGATCGATCACAAAACGAGTTTGTTTCCCTGTATAATATTTCCTCGCAGAGCTATCCTGATTGACTAGTCGAGATTATGACAAAATTAGCGTTTATGTCAATGTTCGAGTGACTTTTGATTTGAAACAACCTCTCACTCAACAACAGTCTTTCACGACACAGAGGCGGATCAGTCGATTCGATGCTCGACTTGTCCAATGTATGTGGAAAGTATTGGTTACCAAATGAGCCTGCGCGCCCGATGAACAGCTGAGTTACAAGTCCTGTTTTGATGAAGCCTTGCTGCACTGTTTGGAGTGCCAGTCACTAGTTAACCACAAAAATACAGCAAACGCGAAAAATGCATTCCTGCCGGTTGGGAAACCACTATGGGAGCACCAATCCCAGCTAGATGACTATGCCTGCAACGCTGAGTCAATAAGTCCGTTCTTTATTTATAAAGTTTCCCGACTTATCCTACCCACTCCGGTAAAAGAAATTCCACATTTTTATCTCTTGTGTCTCCAGGAGTCATAGCTCAATGATTATGTGGATGATTCCGCAGGTCAACTGGATGATTTCGTCTGCTACAGACAGGATACACAACGGTGCGAGAAGAAATTGGGATTAACCATATCAACTCCACATGGTGCGACGAATTCGAAATACTTGTCAAATATTCACAAAATGACATTGATCACTTGACTGTTGTTTGTCACCGAAAAGTTCCCCGCTTGCCTTTTATCGCCACCACCAACTTATAAAGTGCCCTCCATTGTAGGTTGACATGAGCATTTCTTACCGGATTTTGCTTTTATTTATTGTAGACAGCTTGCACCTAACACTTGGTGACCTTAACCAAACCTCTCCGTATTCCGATTAAGCCTCAAGGACCTTATTATCAAACCCATTAGAGGCTGCTCTCATCTAGATCACATAATCACTAATCACGCTNCGCCACCACCAACTTATAAAGTGCACTCCATTGTAGGTTGACATGAGCATTTCTTACCGGATTTTGCTTTTATTTCTTGTAGACAGCTTGCACCTAACACTTGGTGACCTTAACCAAACCTCGCCGTACTCCGATTAAGCCTCAAGGACCTTATTATCAAACCCATTAGAGGCTGCTCTCATCTAGATCACATAATCACTAATCACGCTGACACATTTTCTACCAAACATTTTTTTCACTTAGGTACCAATGACTATAACTTGATCCTGATCAGACCTGAGGTTTACTCACACTATGGTCATCTTTCCCTAACTTGACCTATCCACATCAAGTTCCGTGAACGAGACATTTCCCCGGCTAATAGTGCTTTGCTAAGAGAGTCTCTCAAAGTAGCTACTGACCGTTTCCCTCTACACACAACCTGTTTGTCCAAAATGACATCTCTAACAGACGTGTTAAACCGTGTTTTTGACATGAGCTATCATGTGATAAGTTTATTCCTTCAACATGGTAGAATATCAAGACCTCTTAAACTTCTTCGTCGTGAAAAAGGACGTGTATTTATATGACGCAGGAGGACTGCAATGCCTACGCATATTTTTTGATCAAGAGTGAAATAGAACAGTTGGATTTCCTTTTTTGAAAGTAATCATTTGGGACGAACGACTGTATATCTATGTGGCGTGGAATCAAACTACTCTAGAGGCAGAAGAAAATGATTTCCATTTTTTCTGTAGATGCTGAACAACCTAGTAATGCATTCACTCATTTTTCGTCTGACACACTCCAGTTCTCCAAACATCCCATATTCGTTTGAACTCATTACCTTCAATGAGATGCCTTCTCCCAAGCTGTTGACTGCAGCTAATCCAGACAACTTAAGTCCTATATTTCTTAAGCATGATGCTGACCCAACAGTTCACATTTTACTGTAACTAAGACCCATTCCGGAGAGCTGGTGCCCGATTCCAAAGGAAAGACAAAGGCCTTAACTACGAAACGTTTCAGGCCACTGCTTTTAAGTTGATCGAGTGGTCAGTGGTCAGTTCTACATCGCCTTCAGTTATCCCTCCACCCCCGATAACATTTATCATTTGCATACAAACATAACCGCTCCAAACTGGATGCCATTTCTTCCCCAGTTCACTTTGTTTGTAATTACCCAAACGAAAAGCCCTATATGTGCTCTATGCATCTCTTCATTCATTCTTCAGCTTCTGACTCAGTGCCTAGTTATCTTTTACTTAACAAACTGCAGTCTTTTCTTTATCCCTTTTCTCTTCTTAAAAGACTTACAGATTACTTTTCGCAACAATACCAGTATGATAAATTAGAACGAAGACAGTCGGTCAACTATGTCACTCAGTAGTTTAGCTGTTCTTCAAATTGGTGCATTATCACCCTATCGTTCAGTTGCTTATATCAGTGACTTACCTATTACTCCCCTTGTACGACATTTTGAGTATGCGAGTGATATCGCCATTTCTGTCTCCGCGTCTAGCTAATCAGAAGTGGTCGCATATAACGCAAACTTATCTCACCTCGTTATCCTGTTCTAATCGTAATCCCGAAAAGGCCTTGAAGATATTTTTACTTTAAACTGTTCCTCATTCCCCTCCGACAATGTATAGATTCAGGGAAAACCGATGAGCAGGGTCAGTCATGTAACGTACTTAGGTGTCACACTTGAAAGTAATCTTCGTTGGTCTTTGAGTATTCAAACTGTTTATCGCAAGCTGAAAGTGCTCTCTTGTCAGATAGGAAGATCAAGTCACTTCTGTTCTGATTTGTCAGTGATACTAGCTTATGTTCAACAACGTGTTCTCCCTATACCCCTTTACTGCTCCCCTGTGATATTCCCTGGTTTGCTGCCGGCTGATTTCGAACTGCTTAGGAGTGGATTCTCAATGAACAGATACGATTTCGAGCTCTGTCATCTGTTCTGACAGACGATATCTGTTATGCTCATATTGATGCGTGCTTAAAGTTTGCTGACAGTATTCTATCTGATTCCACCCATCCCTCACATGTTGACATGTATGCATGGAAATCCTACCCCTTCACCCTTTCCAAATACAAACTCATCCCATTTCCGATATCTTCCTACAGAAACTTCTTGGTACTCTATCTTTCTCGGGCAGTGACCGACAAGGAGGATGTTGGTTCTCAGTTTTCTAATACATTGGCATTCTGCATGTATGATGTTCCAGTTTTTCCCCTTTCTTGTCAGTATTGTGACGGTGGTCTCTTTTCGGTTGAAAGCTTGCACATAACTTGTTTAAGCTTCAATATGGCATAATTATAGACTAAATTATTATGACATTTGAATTTCAAATATTTGTGCATCCAACGGTATATTTAGAGTGCCGCGTATCTGCAGCTCAGTGGGATAGAAATACACTTATTCATGTTGTTTACCGTCTCATACATCAGCAGTGGGCAAACCCGCTTGCATCTCAGAAAACCATGTTCGAATATATATAAAACCGGAAAAGTACCTACAAGCACAGGTGTGATTTACGCGTAAAAGTCATAGCAACTAACCTCTGTGGACTGATAGAGATATGGGATTCAATTCCTGATTCATTTGACAAGTGGGTCTGTAATTGAATCATTTTCTCGACTATCCGGGTGCGGTATGTGAATCTTATGGCTGAACTAACATGTTCAATCCGTTATATAAGAATTATTTAACACTTGTTGAGCAGAGCACTAAACGTAGCTTAAACTGATTACTGAAATGATTAAAATTGTTTTTCTCCAAAAGGTCCTGTGAGATGATGCCAGGCCGAAAATTGATCGTGACATTTTTCCTAAGGCTAAGATTTGCCAAAGATTGAATGTGCAAATTGTGACGTGATGAGTTTCATAACACACATCCCTGTGAATTCACACAATTCTAATCGGAAACTGCAATTGGAGCAATAAGGAACTCGGCTTTGGTTAACTTCTGTACTCTTTAGCATTATCCAAAGGATTAACATTCTCACTGGAGTATTATGGTCCTTTAAGTTGCTGAGACTCACGATTATCGTCAAGGCAACAGTAACAGTTATTTTCCGTTTAAATCATCCAGTGGATTATATAATTGCTAATAATTTTACCATATCGCATACGAGGAAGATTTTCATGTGATTTAATGTTACCAAAACTTTTGCCACACGGATATTGACCGCGTGAAATTATGGCTGTAAACAACCGAGATGGTCCAATTATCACATATGCAGAACTTCAATTTTCCTGGCCATTCTTATCTCCCTCTGTCTTTTGACGTTCGCTCATCAATGGAATGCAACAACTCAGGATCCATTACGGGGTCGAGACAGCAGTTAAACTTTAGGCAGTGTTGACCAAGCAATATATGCCGTCATCACGCCGTTTCAGAAGTAGTGTTTTCGAATCATACCACTACCACCACCGCTATCAACTGAAGCAGAATTAAACCTCCTCACTTGTTTCTGTTTTGGTGGCTGTTCTGATAGGCTTATTTCCTATTCCTGAAGGCTGAATACTTTTAATGCTTTCGATACACGAAAGTAAAGGTAAAAGCTGGCATGAGAGAACATCACTCTCGGTGACCATGTCCATTTGGATGAGGGATGGCATCTAGCGCCATCCTCGCACACCTGGCATACTCCGACTACTGTGTGGACTACGATCGGGTTCGTACAAAACATTACCTACTATATACACATATATTCTTGCTAAATAGGCAACGACCATGAATCACGGAGAATAGAGGAACACAGACAAACTCAACAGTGCACCGATTGAAGCTAAAATCCGATCTCTTAGATCGAACACTCCATAGGTACACAGAAGGCACAAGGTTAGTTTGCGTACCGAAAATCTAACGGCGCCGCGCAGTTCACAAGAAAACGGCAACAGGAGTTTAATTGACCTTCCAAAGACACTGATTAATAAATGTGATGAAGCATGTATGAACCAAATGATGTTTGGAGTGTATCGAAAAATCGATGCGCCAGGTGTTGTTTTTATTGTGAATATTACATTGTTAATAACACAGCGATGTCGGTAGGGAATTATATTTGCCGACGTTTCGGTTACCGTGGGTAACCTTTCTCAAGGCAAGTTTTACAATGTGAATGTTATATTGTTAATAACAATGAGCATGTATGGGAGTGCGAGAAGAGTGTGTGTGCGTGTGTGTGTGTCTGTACAGCATTAGTAAGCATTCCGTAAAACACTAAAAGGAGGAACACCAAAAGCTTTATCTACACTGTGACAGGACCGATTGCTGCGGTTTCTGCTATAGTCCTACTATAGTTTTCCACGATCTCAAAACAGAGCAAGCTGCACATAAGTCTACCGATTTGGTAGTTACACCGATTGCGTTGTTTTAACTCAAAAATGTGTTTCTCTTGAACATCCCCTTTTTAAGTATCGTTACTTCGACAGGTTGGTCTCCCACTAGGTACCCCTAAATCGGTTAAAACATATCCGACTGCATACACTCACTATCCTCTGGTGCTTGAACACTAATTCTGTGCGTGAAGCCATCTTTTTATATTTTCTGACACGTCTGAGTTCAGACTGTGTGCCGAACAAATCCGCTTTATGAAAAGAAAAGAAAAAATTCAAGTTTTTCTCCAGAGCGCGATACTGTTGGGTGACCTAGGCCAAGGCAGAGGAGTTTCCTTAGAGAGTTCACAACCGCATCCTTCGGCTAACCAAAGCCCCAACCGCAAGGTAGCGGAGCGGTGAGTGAAAACCGCAGTCTAGTCCATCGGATCATACGCCGTTTGTCCGTGGTCAAGCATCCGAGGTGCCCAATACATCTCGATACCCGATCGAGTCGGTAGCCATTACCACGACCAGTGTGTGTGGTTCATACGCTTCTTCTTGGTTAGTTTGGAATCAGGGATTTTAGCCAACGCCCAGAGGTGAATAGCCAATGGTTCACCTATCCGGTTGCTGCCCAGGATGTTGGCTTTTCGCCCTCTCCTTTTAGTGAAAAAACACCTCCCCCACGAGAAGACAGTGAGTAGGGCTTCCTCCGCAGTTATTTGGTCGTATCGGAGTATTGCGGGAATTGCAAGGCTGTGGGGACCAGCAGCAACCCAAGAAACCCACTCCCCGACTAAACTTCGGATTTCGGCAAAGGTGTTTGTCAAACCCTAAGCTATTGCAGTGGCCTATGTCACTAAATATTCACTAACAGGATGGGAGATTTCATAAGCCATTGACCACCAGATGTTTTGTACTTGAAGAGATCATGGACATTTTTCACGCAATAAAAGTAAATGCTTCTTGAATAATTGGCTGAGTAAAAGGAAACGAA